GCATAAGTAGTCAAAAAAGCAAACAAAAAGAAGCAACTCTGATAATGATAACAATATGCACTGTCCTTGAAGTTGATTGGTCCACACCCGAGACGGCTTTTTTTAGAGCCGAGTCCCCATTGGTGTTGGACCAGATGACACCAGAAGGCGTACAACTCAAACACAGTGCAATATCAGAGTATCGAGAGCTCAGGGTAAGCATTTACACTATGAGATCTCTTTTATCAGTGGCAAAATATAGTATTAGGTTTTTACCCTTTTAAACTGGTACAAAACTGACACCTTTATTCAAGGCATCATGTTTGCAATAACCACAACACAAATAGTCAAAAAAGCAAACAAAAAGAAGCAACTCTGATAATGATAATAATATGCACTGTACTTGAAGTTGATTGGTCCACACCCGAGACGGCTTTCTTTAGAGCCGAGTCCCCATTGGTGTTGGACCAGATAACACCAGAAGGCGTACAACTGAAACACAGTGCAATATCAGAGTATTGAGAGCTCGGGGTAAGCATTTACACTATGAGATCTCTTTTACCAGTGGCAAAATATAGTAGTAGGTTTTTACCCTTTTAAACTGGTACAAAACTGACACCTTTATTCAAGTCATCATGTTTGCAATAACCACAACACAAGTAGTCAAAAAAGCAAACAAAAAGAAGCAACTCTGATAATGATAATAATATGCACTGTCCTTGAAGTTGATTGGTCCACACCCGAGACGGCTTTCTTTAGAGTCGAGTCCCCATTGGTGTTGGACCAGATGACACCAGAAGGCGTACAACTCAAACACAGTGCAATATCAGAGTATCGAGAGCTCGGGGTAAGCATTTACACTATGAGATCTCTTTTACCAGTGGCAAAATATAGTAGTAGGTTTTTATCCTTTTAAACTGGTACAAAACTGACACCTTTATTCAAGGCATCATGTTTGCAATAACCACAGCATAAGTAGTCAAAAAAGCAAACAAAAAGAAGCAACTCTGATAATGATAACAATATGCACTGTCCTTGAAGTTGATTGGTCCACACCCGAGACGGCTTTTTTTAGAGCCGAGTCCCCATTGGTGTTGGACCAGATGACACCAGAAGGCGTACAACTCAAACACAGTGCAATATCAGAGTATCGAGAGCTCAGGGTAAGCATTTACACTATGAGATCTCTTTTACCAGTGGCAAAATATAGTAGTAGGTTTTTACCCTTTTAAACTGGTACAAAACTGACATCTTTATTCAAGTCATCATGTTTGCAATAACCACAACACAAGTAGTCAAAAAAGCAAACAAAAAGAAGCAACTCTGATAATGATAATAATAATATGCACTGTCCTTGAAGTTGATTGGTCCACACCCGAGACGGCTTTCTTTAGAGCCTAGTCCCCATTGGTGTTGGACCAGATAACACCAGAAGGCGTACAACTGAAACACAGTGCAATATCAGAGTATTGAGAGCTCGGGGTAAGCATTTACACTATGAGATCTCTTTTACCAGTGGCAAAATATAGTAGTAGGTTTTTACCCTTTTAAACTGGTACAAAACTGACATCTTTATTCAAGTCATCATGTTTGCAATAACCACAACACAAGTAGTCAAAAAAGCTAACAAAAAGAAGCAACTCTGATAATGATAATAATAATATGCACTGTCCTTGAAGTTGATTGGTCCACACCCGAGACGGCTTTCTTTAGAGCCTAGTCCCCATTGGTGTTGGACCAAATGACACCAGAAGGCGTACAACTCAAACACAGTGCAATATCAGAGTATTGAGAGCTCGGGGTAAGCATTTACACTATGAGATCTCTTTAACCAGTGGCAATATATAGTAGTAGGTTTTTACCCTTTTAAACTGGTACAAAACTAACACCTTTATTCAAGGCATCATGTTTGCAATAACCACAACACAAATAGTCAAAAAAGCAAACAAAAAGAAGCAACTCTGATAATGATAATAATATGCACTGTCCTTGAAGTTGATTGGTCCACACCCGAGACGGCTTTCTATAGAGCCGAGTCCCCATTGGTGTTGGACCAGATAACACCAGAAGGCGTACAACTGAAACACAGTGCAATATCAGAGTATTGAGAGCTCGGGGTAAGCATTTACACTATGAGATCTCTTTTACCAGTGGCAAAATATAGTAGTAGGTTTTTACCCTTTTAAACTGGTACAAAACTGACACCTTTATTCAAGGCATCATGTTTGCAATAACCACAACACAAATGGTCAAAAAAGCAAACAAAAAGAAGCAACTCTGATAATGATAATAATATGCACTGTCCTTGAAGTTGATTGGTCCACACCCGAGACAGCTTTCTTTAGAGCCTAGTCCCCATTGGTGTTGGACCAGATAACACCAGAAGGCGTACAACTGAAACACAGTGCAATATCAGAGTATTGAGAGCTCGGGGTAAGCATTTACACTATGAGATCTCTTTTACCAGTGGCAAAATATAGTAGTAGGTTTTTACCCTTTTAAACTGGTACAAAACTGACACCTTTATTCAAGACATCATGTTTGCAATAACCACAACACAAGTAGTCAAAAAAGCAAACAAAAAGAAGCAACTCTGATAATGATAATAATATGCACTGTCCTTGAAGTTGATTGGTCCACACCCGAGATGGCTTTCTTTAGAGCCTAGTCCCCATTGGTGTTGGACCAGATAACACCAGAAGGCGTACAACTGAAACACAGTGCAATATCAGAGTATTGAGAGCTCGGGGTAAGCATTTACACTATGAGATCTCTTTTACCAGTGGCAAAATATAGTAGTAGGTTTTTACCCTTTTAAACTGGTACAAAACTGACACCTTTATTCAAGTCATCATGTTTGCAATAACCACAACACAAGTAGTCAAAAAAGCAAACAAAAAGAAGCAACTCTGATAATGATAATAATATGCACTGTCCTTGAAGTTGATTGGTCCACACCCGAGACGGCTTTCTTTAGAGCCTAGTCCCCATTGGTGTTGGACCAAATGACACCAGAAGGCGTACAACTCAAACACAGTGCAATATCAGAGTATTGAGAGCTCGGGGTAAGCATTTACACTATGAGATCTCTTTAACCAGTGGCAATATATAGTAGTAGGTTTTTACCCTTTTAAACTGGTACAAAACTAACACCTTTATTCAAGGCATCATGTTTGCAATAACCACAACACAAATAGTCAAAAAAGCAAACAAAAAGAAGCAACTCTGATAATGATAATAATATGCACTGTCCTTGAAGTTGATTGGTCCACACCCGAGACGGCTTTCTATAGAGCCGAGTCCCCATTGGTGTTGGACCAGATAACACCAGAAGGCGTACAACTGAAACACAGTGCAATATCAGAGTATTGAGAGCTCGGGGTAAGCATTTACACTATGAGATCTCTTTTACCAGTGGCAAAATATAGTAGTAGGTTTTCACCCTTTTAAACTGGTACAAAACTGACACATTTATTCAAGTCATCATGTTTGCAATAACCACAACACAAGTAGTGAAAAAGCAAACAAAAAGAAGCAACTCTGATAATGATAATAATATGCACTGTCCTTGAAGTTGATTGGTCCACACCCGAGACGGCTTTCTTTAGAGCCTAGTCCCCATTGGTGTTGGACCAAATGACACCAGAAGGCGTACAACTCAAACACAGTGCAATATCAGAGTATTGAGAGCTCGGGGTAAGCATTTACACTATGAGATCTCTTTTACCAGTGGCAAAATATAGTAGTAGGTTTTTACCCTTTTAAACTGGTACAAAACTGACACCTTTATTCAAGGCATCATGTTTGCAATAACCACAACACAAATAGTCAAAAAAGCAAACAAAAAGAAGCAACTCTGATAATGATAATAATATGCACTGTCCTTGAAGTTGATTGGTCCACACCCGAGACGTCTTTCTTTAGAGCCTAGTCCCCATTGGTGTTGGACCAAATGACACCAGAAGGCGTACAACTCAAACACAGTGCAATATCAGAGTATCGAGAGCTCGGGGTAAGCATTTACACTATGAGATCTCTTTTACCAGTGGCAAAATATAGTAGTAGGTTTTTACCCTTTTAAACTGGTACAAAACTGACACCTTTATTCAAGGCATCATGTTTGCAATAACCACAACACAAATAGTCAAAAAAGCAAACAAAAAGAAGCAACTCTGATAATTATAATAATATGCACTGTCCTTGAAGTTGATTGGTCCACACCCGAGACGTCTTTCTTTAGAGCCTAGTCCCCATTGGTGTTGGACCAAATGACACCAGAAGGCGTACAACTCAAACACAGTGCAATATCAGAGTATCGAGAGCTCGGGGTAAGCATTTACACTATGAGATCTCTTTTACCAGTGGCAAAATATAGTAGTAGGTTTTTACCCTTTTAAACTGGTACAAAACTGACACCTTTATTCAAGTCATCATGTTTGCAATAACCACAACACAAGTAGTCAAAAAAGCAAACAAAAATAAGCAACTCTGATAATGATAATAATAATATGCACTGTCCTTGAAGTTGATTGGTCCACACCCGAGACGGCTTTCTTTAGAGCCTATTCCCCATTGGTGTTGGACCAAATGACACCAGAAGGCGTACAACTCAAACACAGTGCAATATCAGAGTATTGAGAGCTCGGGGTAAGCATTTACACTATGAGATCTCTTTTACCAGTGGCAAAATATAGTAGTAGGTTTTTACGCTTTTAAACTGGTACAAAACTGACACCTTTATTCAAGACATCATGTTTGCAATAACCACAACACAAGTAGTCAAAAAAGCAAACAAAAAGAAGCAACTCTGATAATGATAATAATATGCACTGTCCTTGAAGTTGATTGGTCCACACACGAGACGGCTTTCTTTAGAGCCTAGTCCCCATTGGTGTTGGACCAGATGACACCAGAAGGCGTACAACTCAAACACAGTGCAATATCAGAGTATTGAGAGCTCGGGGTAAGCATTTACACTATGAGATCTCTTTTACCAGTGGCAAAATATAGTAGGTTTTTACCCTTGTGTGTGTCAGGACTGCAGTCGGGCAAACTCGGCGAGACTCTTGCGGTGGGACCGCTGGGACCGGCGATCGTCAGCAGCGACGGCGGTGCACAACGTCGTGACTCTGGGCCCCGTGCAGAGGGTGAAGCGCGACTCTCCCTCCCACGCCCACGGTGATCCTCACCCTCCCCGCGTGTTCCTGGCCCGCTTGTCGATCCGCTGCCGGGCGACGATGCTCTCCCGACGCCGTGTGGGGGTTCGTGTGGGGGGGCCGATTTGACCGTACTTCATCACGCCGGTCGGCGCGGGTCGAAGGCGGGCAGCTTCGACGCCGGAGCGGAGGGCGGCTTTGTCGCGCCGCCCTCTGCCTACAACTGCCGCAGCACAGCGACCGTTGCCGCTGCGCTGTTATGCCGCGTGCCACTCGCCCGTCCAAGCGCTGTACAGGCTCGGCTCTGCTGAGATGCCGAGATCTGACGCGATTGGACGCGTCCAGTTTGAGTTGGTCTCAGGTCAAAGTGTCACTCGCATTAATATTGGCTGTTCCTTGCGTAGTAGACAAGGTCAACAATGTTTTTTAAACATTCAAGGAAAATCAATGGGAAATTTTGACAAACAGAATAAAATGTAATTCTTGAAGAGAAGGTATGGATAAAACAATGTGGGAATCGTCAGTATTTGCTGTTGGCGAACTAACTACACATTCAATCTTGACTGAAAGCTTTTGTGACTGCAGGAATTCATATTGTTTTGGTCTTTCAGTAAGATATCTATGTGACTTTACCGAAAAACCCAAAGAATATAACTACACATTGCGCTCAGCTTCCGATACTTTTGAAAAATAAACCAAGGCCATAGCCATAGAGTCAACATTGGGGGGACCAAATCTTCCAAGGTGTCTGGGGGTCTCCCCCAGAAAAAGAAAATCTTAATTTGAAAACTCATTTCCTGCCTAAAATATAAAAAAAAAATTCACTAACACATAGGATGGACTTTTGATTTATTTTTTACAATAATGTGTAATGGTGTATTTTATTACATTGCTCTGTTTTTTTTATTTTTAACCTTTTCTTGTTTCATTGTATGTTATGTTTGAGATTAGGGATTAATAAAGTACAACCATAACCACAATCATATAAACAGAAATCTATTTTATAGCAATATATTGGGGGGGACATTTTGAGCATATTTATATATTGGGGGATGTGTGTCCCCCCAATATATATTATAATTACGGCCTTGGAATAAACCACGCCAGCTGTTGGCTCCCGCACTGCGCCGTGGGAGCCAACAGATAACGTCGGCGGAAGAGCGAGCAGCTCTTGCAATAGGAATGTCGCAAGTTCAAATCCTGGCTGAGGTTTAACTCAGCCCCATCACCCCTCTCAGGTTAATAAAACGAGTACAACTATCAGAATCAGAAATGTGTTTCCCGAGTGAAGCTCATCGCGCTAAAAAGCTCTTTGTCAAGAGCGACTCGGCTGGCACACATCAAAGCATTCCACAATTGCATAATTTGTGACAAAGTCAACAGTGATTGTCCTGTGGATAGGCTCGGCCCCACCATAGGAACGTGGAACTTCCACCACTGGCTCAGGGCTGTATACAGGAGATCAACACCTCCTCAATGCTCATTTGTGCAGGAAGCCACTTTTGGCTTTACGAGCCCGCAGCAGTACGGGGTGCTGCACCGTGTGCTCACGACACCGTCGTACGTACCGTGCCATTTCCCGCTTGCTGCCAGCAGGGGACGGGACCGAAGCTGCCATGTCTGCCGTCCTGGGAGGGCTGCTGGGCTTCTCGCTGCTCGTGCTGCTGGTGACGCTGCTCACCGTGAAACGCTGCGACGCGCACGCCTTCGCGTTCCGGCCTGGGCCCGGCGCGGGGCCCCCTTCAGCGGAACTTGCAAGGCCCGTGGACCCAGCACAGTGGAGCCTCCACAGTTGCTGAACGCGGACACCTGGCTCACACGCTAACGCTAGGGCGCCGCGGTGGCGAGATGTTATCTCCCTCGCCTGGTGTGCAGGATGTCGTGGGTTCGATCCTGACCCAAACGCCTGCTGTATATTTGGAGCTTGCCTGTCTCTCTCTCTCTCTCCCCGTGGTCGCATTGATTTTTTCCGGGTCCTCTAGTTTTTACCTCCACATTTAGAAACATGCCTTTAGAGTATTTTACTGCTATACATTTCCACATAAGCCACTTCGTAGAGCTATCTATCATTTGTGGCCAAGACGTTTCTGAAAAAGAGCTATATAGCTCAGCGGGCCTTACCTGGTAAAATAAAAAGTTGAGTTACATTTGGTGTTTGTGAATCGTATGCCTTACTCTCGGGGTTGGGCTACCACCTGGCTGGATTTCACTCAAGCAGCCGGGGCATCGTTCGGGGTGGCACATATCGATTTGCGCGAGATTCTGGTCGCATCGTTTTGAACTTTACTTTACAACTGAGTGCCGATTAAGAAATCTGCCCGCCTTTGGCCTACGGTGCGAAAGGTTGCGACCCCAATTGTGGGTTTAGAAATGGTAACGTAGATAATTGTCAACGGAGGTAAAATTGTGAAGGTGCAGACCTGAAAGTGGTCGCTCGCACCACTGCTGGCGCAAGGAGCCTCCGCTAGAGGGAGCTCCAGAGAGCCCCTGTAGATATATTGCTGATATGGGTAAATTTAGATGCGAAGAGGTAGGCATATATAAAGCATTGTGCACACAGCTCTTCCCAATTCCTACAACCGTGTTCTGTACACGCACACAAGGTGGGCTCAATGGCAATATGGAAGTTCCACCATAGACCCTATTTGTCTTGCAGCCCATGTTCACCGACACTCACCCTCATTGAGCATGGCCATGAAAAGATTTTCCAATTGGGTAATTTTCAGGAAATTGTTCATATTTGGACCATGACACCGGCACACAATGGCCTATTCTTGCAATTGAGTTCACGGGATTTTTAACGTCCAATGTGAAGCAGAGATGGCTTGTATTTTTCTCGGTTATTACACCCGCAGTATTGACCAGGGTGGCCACTACATTCGAACCATAAATCTCTTGCAACAAGTGGCAAAGGCGCCACCGCGAGGCCGCATCACAATTCACTTACACCCAACGTCAGAGATAGCTTGTAAGTCACCGAAGCTATCATCTAAAGATGTCTCGGTTTAGTTTACATCACGCGATGGACACCATTTTTTATTATTTAGACACTGCACCTGCGAAACACGAAGCTTTTTTCATGACAAAATAACGATCTGGAAAGTTTTGAAAATACTCCTTTAGGGACTCTACTTACGAACATTCGACCAACGAACTTCCAGAGATATGAAACACATTCCTGCGGAGGGAGCTGGTAGGAACGTTGGGTTGCTCGGTCAATGGCCATGGTCAACGGCCGCGTGGTGTAGTCCGCAAATATGCCCGACTGTGAGGGCGGGCACAAGCCGGCATAAGTAGGTTAAACGTTGAGTTTTATAAGGGCACCACGGGGTGACCAGCACCCCCCCATCCAGTCCCACCCCTCCCACCCCCCACCCAGCCCCACCCTCCCCACCCAGCCCCTCCCCACCCGCCCCTCCCAACCCTCCCCTCCCCACCCAGCCCCTCTCCACTCTCCCCTCTCCACCCAGCCCGACCCCTCCCATTTTTGGATGCACGACGGATGGACACAATAATCCCGTGGGCTAGTGGAACCAGGTGGTTCCTATCAGTACAAACCTGTCCGTATGTCCAGTTGTCTGTTCGGACCGAGTCGTAAGTTCAACCGCCACGCAATAGATGGCGGTGGTGGCATCTACATCTGCAGAACGTGAAGAACCAGTGACATCTACAGGAGATTATACAACTTTTAGAGCTATTCCCCGTGTGTGGTGTACATGCTGTACATGTTTGGAATCGATAGTAAAATTGGACTTACGAACAAATCGACTAACGAACAAACCTCTGGAACCTAATTCTTAATTTGAAGCTTTCGTGACTGCAAGGATTCATACTCTTAGTTCTTTTGGTAAAGTCACGTAGGTAAAAAAATGAAATAAAAATTAATAAAAATAAAATAAAAATCACGACGTTTCGGAGGCAACACAAGTCTCCGTCATCAAGTGGGACCGTCACAGCCAGATTTGCTGCATCAAGTGAGGCAGGGATTAAAGATGCAAGCCCTTAAATACAAGTTGAGGGGGGAGGAGAGGGGGGCTAAAAGAAGGCACGAAGTGCTCGTAGGCGTCGACGACGTGGACGTGTTTGTGCGCAAGTAACTTGTTGCACATGCTAACGTATTGGACGAGGGGGGGGGGGGCTAAAAGAGAGTACGGGGTGCAAGTGTACGTGGACATGTCTATGTACAAGCACCTGTTGATACACATGATAGAAAAGAACGAAAATGCCCATGTTTATACCAGTGTTGGCTGACAATAAAGAGAGTACTTTTAAACACTGGGGATGTTGACACTCGGTAAAGTAAAATAGTGCCTGTCAGATAAGATGGTCCAAAAATGTGTAGTCAAATCTTTTTTACATGGTTAATAACATCTTTCCAATGATTACTAAGTTTGTACCCATCATCACGGTTGAAATTATGTCGGTGTTTGTATATCTGAATGGCTTCGTGTACAAACCTTTGATGGTAGCCAGAGGGTTTGCAGAGCACCTTAGTCTCGGAAAAAACAATATCATGAGAACCTAACTCGTTCGTAAGTAGAGGAGTCCCTGTAATGTTGAATGATTATTTAGGTCTGCTCTGGTGATGATCCAATGATTCGCCATGGCAAGTGATCCAAGGCTGCTGGCATTGCCACTCCAGCATTGGTGCACCGTTATACGTTTGATGTGGTTTATATATGTGCCCCATCATAATTATTATAAGTGACAGCTTTGTCAATCCACTGCGAGATGAGGCCAGTGCAGGTGAAGTGAAGGGAGCATCTGGAATTGGTTTGGATATCGCAGGCCCTGGCTGAAAGTCGTGGCAGTAACCGTTGCACCATCACTCTGCCTCACATGCTCCCTGACGATTTTAAAATGCTTCACCGTGAGAACACGCGAACCAACAGAGAGGGGGCTCACCCCCAACCTTCAAGTCGGTCACATCCACAGAGTCCTTACACTGAAGGGCCTCTGCTTCGTGTCGTCACAATAGTCATTTTTGAAAATCGGTGCAAACTTTGGAAAAAAAACCACAAAGAAATGTTCTGCCAATTTGGAAACCTTATTACCACATTTGTCAGAACTTCACAGATCCCAAATCTAACTCGACAGCGAGATAATTTTTTATCACAGCTGCGGAGCACAGAGGCCCAGAGGCTCAAAATTCGTGTTACCCCCAGTGTAGGAATCGGCACTGGTGTTCTGGTATCAGTATCATCTTTAACTTTATTACAAGATGAACGTATCCAGGTTGGTTTGCGTGAAACGTTGTGACCCTCGTGTAAATGCTTTGTTCAGAGTGGTGTAGTAAGTCTATTTGTTAATTTTATTATAATAAAAGCCCAGAGCAGACTTCATAAATTTTCAAGGTGAGCAGCTACATTAAAAACCAGGACAAGCGAGAGCCACGAATGAATAATTTGCCATTCTGATGACGTACGTGTACGTCAGAAAAAAATATATAAGATATCTTTATCGGTACGTACAAGGCCATGCGGGGGGGCATGTGGCACAGTTTGGCACCGGCTATCGAAGAGTGCGGTTGCGTCGCTACAGTTCTCTGCGGTGAGTACAATGCCTTTAAAAACGGCGCTACGCCTCTCTAAATAAAATTAACGCCGAACCGCTCGTGCGTTCCGAGATTCAGCGGTGACCGGGAACCACCCTGCAACTTTCAGTCCTCTCAGAACAGGAAAAGGTTAAAAGTGTACGAACGATCGCAGTTGCGAGCTCGCTATCGCCGCAGCCTCTCACCCGAGTTGGCCGAACGCTCAGCTTTATTCACCAACCCACTTGCAAACCGAATTCACCAAGCACCTTGCAATATTTGGTCGTATGAGAAAAGCAGGCCGAAATTAAGTCACGGATGTCACTCGATGGATAGAAAAGTTTGACCTGTCACCAGTGCAGATCGCTTTCTTGGACAATAAAAATAGCAGTCATCAACAATAAATAAAAAAACATTGAGAGGTGGTGGGTGGCTCAGTGATAATTTTTCTTTGGTGGAGTAATCGGTGACCAAGGGCTGATACCTTAAACTCACTATACTTGAGAACCCGGTTTCATCACAGACGGTTATCTGGACCGGAACCTATGTCTCAGCGGTGTCAGCTCCATGCTCGGGTCTCCGAGCCACCACCACTCTCGATCAGTAAGAGGGGAAATTGTGGCCATCCCAACAGGCAACAGTGAAACAAGGACCAATACATAGGGGCCAAAGAGGAGCTGCTGCACCTGCAACGCTGCACTATTCTGCGTGACGGCAAATCCACACTGAGGGGATACGGCATTGGCAGGGGTCGGGCTCCTGCAGTGTTTTGCCAGTGTTGGGAATCTGACCAAATAGAAGTCTCGGGCGGGCATCGCCGCTAGCAGACAACGCTTTGCCCCACATCCGATCAAAGAACTCGCATGAGGCAAACGAGGCGAGGGCAGGACGGACGGATCGACGACACCGCACTGCTGCTGTCGTACGATGACGCAGGCACCTTCCTCACGAATGCAAAAACGAATTAAGACCACGACTACAAAATTGTTTCGCCAATTTATTTCCGAGATTGACGCGATGAATGGTCATGCCTCGTTACTTCTTTCGTAATGTTAGTGTCGGGCAGAGCAATGGGGAACGAGGTCACGTGTGAAACATGAACCATACAATAGATCACATCAACCTTCAGTGGGCACTGCCGAAACACATGCTCCACAATTCATTGTTAAATCTAGCACGGGAAGAGAAATATTTTGAACGGTACCAGTGTTTTTTCTCCTTCTGATTTCGCAAAATTGCGTAACCAGGGTTTTTTCAAACTGGGTAGAGAAAAATGCTTCCCTTTGTGAATCTACGACTATTAACTCAGCATTAACCCAAAGAAGCAACCAGATGCAGGTAAGTAATGAGAGGGTGCTGGTGTGTGAAGTGTGGGCAATTGCTACACAATGCACCTGCACTGCCTACATGGAAACTGCGAGCATCTGGAAGCATATCGGCCTTTCCTAGCCAACAATCCTCAAACGTGGCACATTTCACTGCTTATAATTAGGGCGCACCTTGTGTGGTGTGTGTGTGTCAACCTCTGTGTGCTCCGTGCGTCTACCTCTGTGATGTGTACGTCTAACAATCTGTGGTCTGTGTAACAACCTGTGAGGTCTGTGTGTGTCCAGCTATGTGCTCTGTGTGTTAAACTGCATGTCCAACTGTGTGTAACAACATGTGTGGTCTGTGTCAACCTGTGTACTGTGTGTGTGCACATGCGCCCTAAGAGGCCGCACAGGGTTTTTTGTTGTGTGAATTGAACCCAAGCCACGGAACGCCGCTGGGTGACGAGCGA